CAATACAAGTGCCTTCATTAGTCAACTTCTGGAATGAAGTCTTTGCTTCTTCCAGTATGTTATCAATGTATCACTCTGATTGATCCAAATGTAGCTTCTATTGCTGGACAAAGGTCTACTATTGTTGTAGTTGATGCCCAGATGGCATTATTTAATGACCCAAGTGGTTTCAATAGTAGACTTACAAAAGAGAGAATGGCGATAGTCTTCTCTGAACATAGTAGCAGAAGTAGTCCACCAGCCTCGCCATTTAGATCTGTCCTATCTTGCTAGATACTTTCCAAAGCCAGTAATAACCATTGCAGTAGTTTTAAGACAACAGCCAGAGGTCATTCATGAGAAAGCCAGCGGGTATTCCCAGATTGGACTAATTTGAATCTCAGTCCCAGTGTATTTATTTTTTCCAAGACAGTCAGTCTTTCTGGACTTTTTTTTTTTTTTTTTTTAAAGCAAAAGTATAATGAAGACATTAAATTTATGGCTTTTTTAATGTCTTTTGAAGATTCTACAGCTGGCACTAGTGCTTGGAGTAGATGGCCTCTGTAGTGTGTATAGGAGAGATTAGGGTTATACTTTTCTCTAACCAAAGCTTGTACTCCACTATGTTTCCAGAGAAGTTTGCAGCTCCATCAAATGCACAAGCAACCATCTGTTTGGGGTTCAATTTACAAGAATTTAACTCTAAGATGCGGATTGTCACAGATGCAGACAATGTGTCTTCTATAACCTGAACATCTAGAAATGCATCTATTGACCTACCACTGACATCGATGTACACAATGACTTAATACTTGATACCCATTTGCATCAGTGCATTCATCAGCCATGTACACAAATTTTTTGAATGTAGTGAGACAATTCTTCATTTTTTAACTCATAGACTCAAGGTCAGAAGGGACCATTATGCTCATCTAGTCTGACCTCCTGCACAACGCAGGCCACAGAATCTCACCCATCCACTCCTGTAACAAAACCCCTAACCTATGTCTGAGTTATTGAAGTCCTGAGTCTTTCACTGTTGAACCCCATGTGTCTAACCCAGGGGTGGGCAAACTACAGCCTGCGGGCCGCATCCAGCCAGTCAGAGCTTTGGATCCAGCCCGCGGGATTACCACCCCCATGGTGCCACAGGCCCCGTGCCACTCCCAGAAGCGGCTGGCAACATGTCCCTGCAGCCCCTGGGGGAGAGAGGGAAGAGGGCTCCATGTGCTGCCCTCGCCTGCTGGCACCGCCCCCCACAGCTCCCATTGGCCAGGAACAGGGAACCGCAGCCAATGGGAGCTTCAGGGGAGGTACCCACAGGCTAGGGCAGCGTGCAGAGCCCTCTGTCCCCCCGCCCCCAGGGGCTGCAGGGACATGGTGCCAGCCGCTTCCAGGAGCAGCACAGGGCCAGGGCAGGCAGGGAGCCTGTCTTAGCATCATTGTCACCCCAGAGCTGCTCCAGGTAAGCAGCCCCAGGCTGGCCTGGCCTGCACCCTGAACCCCAACCCCCTGCCCTGAGCCCCCGCTGCACCCTCTCCTGCGCCCCAACCCTTTGCCCTGCGCCCCAACCCTTTGCCCTGCGCCCCTTCCTGCACACCACACTCCCAGCCCTACATTCGATTTCCTCACCCACATGTGGCCCTCAGGCCAAAAAGTTTGCCCACCCCCTGGTCTAACCAGTCAGTTGAATTTCTTGCAGAAAGATAGTAAGCATTTACCAAATTTTTTTTGGAACCAAGAACCAGTATCAAACTTCAGGATTAAACTAGTGACAATGCACTTAACATTGGCCTCCCATTTGTAGTGTGTGGTATCTCTTGCTTAAATAGAAAGTATGATGCAACAGATATGTTTGTGTGCATAAACTGTTGTCTCTCCCACATTAACAGCCTCATCAAGTACTTCTAAAGTTGACTTTGACAGTGATAGCCTTATAAGGGTTTCTTCGTGTCGATGCAGTCCAGGGACTTGGTGTGTTGCAGCCTTTTCATGTAGTTTGTCAGCATTGGCTTTGCTGATCAGTCTGGCAAAACAAGCTCCTCCACATTTACTATATAAACCCATGGTACACCCACATCTTGAATACCATGGTGCAGATTTGGTCGCACCATCTCAAACATATATTGGAATTAGAAAAGGTACATAGAAGGGCAACAAAAGTGATTAGAGCTATGGAATAGCTTTCCATATGAAGAGCGATTAAAAAGACGGGGCTTTTCAGGTTGGAAAAAAGAGACGACTAAGGGGGGATATGATAGAGGCCCATAAAAATCTTGACTGGTGGGGAAAAAGGTGAATAAGGAAATGTTATTTACTCCATCACATAACACAAGATCTAGGGGTCACCCAATGAAATTAATAGGCAGCAGGTTTAAAACAAAAGTACTTCTTCCTCTCACAACACAGACAACCCATGGAACTTGTTGCCAGGGTATGTTGTGAAGGCCAAAACTATAACATGGCTCAAAAAAGAACTAGATAAGTTTATGGAGGATAGGTCCATCAATAGCTATTAGCCAGAATGGGCAGGGAGGCAACACCATGCTCTGAGCGTCCCTAGCCATTGTTCACCAGAAGTTGGGAGTGAACAACAGGGGATGGGTCACTTGATGATTACCTGTTCTGTTCATTCCCTCTGAAGCACCTAGCATTGGCCACTGTCGGCAGACAGGGTACTGGGTTAGATGGATCATTGGTCTGGCCCAGTATGGCCATTCTTACGTAAAAAAGTAATAAAAATGTTTAATACAAAAACTCCAAGATAACGGCCTCTCCAGATAGAGACAATGGGAGGTAACAACCTTGGAAAATAATGCATTTTTTAAAATCTTGGCTACTAGGAAACATATAGTTAAGTTTCCCAGTCACAAATCTAGCATTCTGGAGCAAAACATAGTGCAACAAAGAAATGTTCCTTTAATTTTCCCCTCCCTTCTCCCTCCACCGCACCTGACTCATAGTTGTTATCCCTGAATTCAGAGGTGCTTTCACGTGAGCTAACCTCCCACCCTGGTGGGGATGGCAGGAGAGGCACCTTTCTCGTTCCTCCAGCCTCTCACTCTGGGCACTGTTAGTTGTGCCACTGTTAACTCACCACTGGCCCTGCACTGTTACCTTCTGCTGCTATCTGCCACTGTGAGCTCTGCGAGTTGGTCTCTTCAAGTTCCACCAGCGCCCAGTGATTTCAGCTCTCAGTGGGGGAACCTCACTGCTAGTGCAGACTGGGCAGTCTCTTCCACATAAACACTGTCCTGCAGCAAGTCTAAGCACTTAGACCTGATTATCAGTGATTTCAACTCTAATGGTCATAAAAAAAGAAACAAAAAAAACCCACGACTCTCTACAGAGCCTAATCAACGCTATCTTTAAACTGGGGAGAGGGGCAGGTCAAATAGTGCCTGTGACTCTTAGGCAGAGCCTACACCAAGCAAAACACCTATCCCCACCCTCTCTGTCTCTCACCACTGGGATCTGGCATCCAAACCCCCTGCTTAGTGAGTGCAGTTCCTTGAGGGTGACCCCCCACCAAATCAAGACAGGCTAAGTACAGGTTTGCTGACCTTTCCTCATACAATAAGGAGAACATTTCGTTACCCCCACATTCAATACTAAAAAGTGATTTGTAACCCAACATCGGCCAACACTGATCACTTGGGCAACACAGCCCTGTCTGCTGGATACCTAGGCAGAGTAGGTGTGTTCATGTAAATACAGGCTGGTTCTGAAGCCTTCTCCTCCTATCCCCAGCTCATCACTAGCTGTTAGGGAAGAGCTCATTGAGACCTTGCTTACAAGCCATACTTTGAATTTATTAGGTTAGCTAACATCACCAAAACAAATGTGCCGACATGATCATAAAAACACAGTTGTGTGAGGAAGCTAGTCTTTGTTCATACTTTTCAAACCTATTATGCTTTTTGCAGGTACAAATATTTTATCATATGCTGTATATGCTATTAAAGGGTGTATTAATATTTCAATTTCAATTCAAATTTCCAACCAACAATTAAATTGGCAACACTGCATGTAACAAGTTGACCACTGGGGGCAGGGGTGATGGGGAAATTCAGGGGAGTGTAGGGAAATTCCTTCAGCTGAATAGTTCACTAAGAGGCCTGGTATATGCCCCCAGAAATCAGAAGGTTTGACTTGGGTCTGGGTAGCGCAGTACAGATGCATCAGCATGATTGAGAGACCCAGGTCCAGAAATTGTAAGTCCATGTTCACTATGCAGTGTGTATGCAAAAGTACAGGCTCAGAAATACCAAGCCTGGAGACTTGGGTTCCACAGTCCCAAGCGGACAATGAAGTGTAGACATATCCCTACTGCCTGAAAGGGAAAAGGAGAGTTTTATCTTCTACCACCTATTGCTGGGAAGGAGGGAAATGGTCTCTAGCCCTCCTCCAGCTTCCCCTGTCCTTTGGAGGCAGGGGGGAGGCAGGTGGCTAGCACAGGTCCTTCTCCCCTGTGAAGAACTCCAGTGCCTTCCTCTGTTGCGCCTCATAGTTTTGCCAAGAAGTATCCCCACGAAGCAGACTTGCTTTCACAGCTGCTCAATGGGGACTAGACACTTTTTTAAAAATAAAGCCTACATGTTGCACAAGTTAGTGCCTTAGCCCCTACAATTGCCAGACAAAGCTTCTGATTTCCAAGTGGATTTAAAACAAATTAAAAATCCCATTTTGTGAGCTAGATTTTGTATGCACTTATTACCATACTTACTTGAGGTTTTTCCAATAACTATAATAGCAAATTACATTTATGGTATCTTCCAGCCAAGGATCTCAGAGTACTAAACAAGCCTTATAGCTCCATGAGTTAGGCAAGTATTAGTCACACTTTACAGAGAAGAAAAACTAAGGCAAAGAGGTTAGGTCACCAACCCAAGGTCAGAAACAGAGCTGAGGTCTTTTGACTCCTAGCCCTGAGTTTGAACAGCAAGACCATCTGTTTTTCATATGATTAGAACACAATGCAAATTGCACACTAGAAATAAGATGCAAGAAAACACACTCACCCAAACAGAATTGTAACACATCCCGAGACAAACATCCCAGCCACAAACATGAATTTGGCTCCAATTTGTACAAGCTGCAATTGGTGAAGAATAAATATTACATTTTAATTACTTCAAGTCTGCTTTTATGAAGGAAACTTATTTGAGGAGTTTTGTTATGAAATCAAAACCACTGTGCACGCTCTAGAAAAAAAATCACTGACAGAACAAAGGCAGAGAATCAGAACTCCCCCCCTCCCCCCCCCCCACAGCTTGTAACCAAACCTAAAAATATTCTAAATGGTTAAGTGACTTAACCTACTTTTCCCAACCAAGTCACTGGTAGTGCTTACTCTCACTGCCATTTGCTGTAGCCTCTGTACAGTGGCAGAATGCACCAGCATTCATATATCGATTAGATGGAGTGACTCGCATACATCCAGCATTGCCTATAGCAGGCAGTAATGGTGCTATTAAGGTAGGCGCTGGGGAGCTGACAAAAATGGAGGTTTCCATTTGCTCATCTATCTAACAGACTAGCAGCTAACCCAAGACAACAGGGTATGCAGCTCAGGGCATAAGCACCAGAAGGCAGTAAACACAGGATCCGTGGAAGGCTAATTATTCAGGGAAAAGATCATTCTGTCATGGAAGCCAGTTTAAAAGAAACTTGTAACCATCTCTGAGGTAGGGAACGCACTTCACTTCTCCCCATTCTCAGAAATGCCAGAGGCAAGATAGCATGGCCTGCTTTCACTTGACTCTACCAGCTAGGAAATGGATGGCTGGGGGCACAGCCTATGGCGAGGTCACCTTCAACAATAAGTCTGTGGGGCTTCTTATTGCATTCTACACCCTCCCTTAGCATGAGCACACATTTCAGTTTCTTTGGATTGTTCAGGGCTAGAGAAACAGTCTCTGTACTGCAGCGTGTTTTACTTAAGCCAGTGGTTTGTCCTGCTTTCAGTGAAACCCTGAGTTGTCCAATCATTGCTATGGGCTACCTACTTGTCTATTGTATTAGTAATGAATTATGTCTTTCACACAGCAGCACCTCCAGTGGAGGCCTCAACTTCTCCACAGCTCCCACCTACTTCACAGGAGAAAGGTAAGCAGTCATATGTACTCCCGACTTCTGCCAAGATACACAAAACTACAGCTCCAGCCACACCTAGCTCGGAGGCAGCCTCCTGGCTCAGCAAGAGGAATATCTTCAGTTCTGTGTTAAAACACCAGGTGGAGTCTAACATGTGTGTGTGGGGGGGGAGAGGTAGCAGGAGAGAGAGAGAGAGAGAGAGAGGGAATAGTGAGAAAATATGAAACACAGGAAGAAAAAGGGTGGTGGATGTAGACTGATGGAGGGGAGCAAGGAATAAGGTAAACTTAGGCCTGGTCTACACTGGGGGGGAGGGGCGGGGTTCAATATAAGATACACAACTTCAGCTATGGGAATAGTGTAGCTGAAGTCGACGTATCTTATTTCGACTTCCCTCCTGTCCTCACGGTGTGGGATCGACGGCTGCGGCTCCCCCCGTCGACTCCGCTTCCACCGCTCACCCTGGTGGAGTTCTGGAGTCAACGGGAGTGCGTTCGGGGATCGATATATCGCGTCTAGACGAGACGCGATATATCAATCCCCAATAGATCGATCGCTACCCACCAATCCAGCAGGTAGTCTGGACGTACCCTTAGAACTTGCCACAGTTTGAGTAGAAGGAGTTAACAAGTGCAATAAGGTAAATATGCTAGACAGGACATCAGTGGTGAGAAGACAGTAGTGTGTCCCCCTTTTCCATCCCCTATATCAGTGGTCTGTTGTAAGAGTCCTTTTTTTGTGAGGGTTGGGAGATCTAGTTAGAGGGAACAGTTCCTTGGGAGATACTAGAGGTCTAACTCCACTTTCCTTGAAAAGACTAGAGGACTTCTTCTTTCTTTGGATAAGTGAGGGGAGAGAGAGGAGAAAAGTTAATCTTAAAATCCTAAAAAAGTCCAGATGTGGCCTTAAACCTGTACACAAGCTTAAGAATTATATTTGATAGCCACATTTAGGATAGGAACCTAGAAGATATTCTCTAGCCTTAAAATGTTTTCCTTGAATGATTTAGCTCCATCCCCACTGGTAGGCCTGACTGCAGTCAATGCAGAGAGTGCCTAAGGAGGTGCCCCATTCATTCTTCCAAAAGTGACATTTCTCAAAGCTTTAGGTACTATTAGCCAAAAGCCCGGCAAAAGTGCAATTTAAAAAACGGTACTCCAAAAAGAATGGAAAGGAGAGCTTTGAGCAAAGTGTGTTCTGGTTGAGTGTTTGACCCCTTCTCGCTGGAGCTCTGCCTGCAACAACCCATTATTTTAAAAAAAACAGCACACAAGACTTCTATTGCTTCAAAATCAACAGTCTGAATGTTCAGTCAGAGAGAAGTGTGCCTTCTGTTAGAAAAGCAGTTTCTCCTGGGGTCTGTGGAGCACTTCTGAAGGTCAGCAGAGCAACTTGATCTCACGCTGCTGGATGTCTTCTTTGTTTCTAGTTGACCTTACAGGTGTCCAGGCTCTTTGTTACCAAGAGGATGTTGGATGTTTATAAAAGCAACTGGAATATAGGAAGACAACCTAACCACATTTACTAAAGGATGGAGTGGGTCTCAGAGTGCGTAAGTTAGCTTTCCCTAGCCACTAACCACCATCTCTTTTCCTCTGTTTAAAAAAGCAAGCCTATGAGCACTAGAAGTCATAAGCGGATTTGTCTGGAACAGGCTCTAAGTGAGGTTGTTAGGTCCTATTCCATAATTAATTCATTACTGAAAACTTTAAAGATACTTACATAATTGCCTAATATTAAAGAAGTCAAGAAATTGAATAAAGCAAAGCATCCAAAAATCAGTCCAACAACTGTATCACTGGCACCCTTTTTCTCTGCCTGTAAAAGGAAACACCAAGACAGCCAGTTTTAGAACATGGACAAAACAAAAAACAACAAAACAAACCACCATACACCATGTTAGCATTAGATTAGAAAGTATTTTAACCAAGTCTTCCATCGTACCTGCCAGTATGGTCATAAAGCATTTTCTCTTTTAAAGAGGACTGGGAGATTCAGCAGTAACTCTAGAGCAACTTAAAAATCACCTGGCACCACAATTCAGTATTTCTGTAGTCAGGAGCAGAAGCAGCATCTATTCCAAGTGGAAGCAGGTGTGAAGGATGGAAATTCTAAGTTGCTGTGTTGCACTACAGGTCAGCTAGTAGGACCTTACCCAGGGACAGAACGCATTCCCCAAGTCCGAACGCAGGTGGAACCTGGTGTGCACAGACCTCATCCCCCTGCAAGGAAGGGGCAAATGAAGGAATCTGTCTCCACAGCATGGTTCCTCTACCCCCATATCCCAGGATGCCACAGAGGACACCCTGCAAGTTTGGGATCCATGCAGGGGAGGGAGTGTGGACTGGGCAGGGGGAAAGATGACAACATCTCCCCACTGGCCTTATAGAAATTACCTGGGAAGAGGTAATATGTTCTGTCACTGTACTTTTCCTTTCCACTGGAGCTGCACTGCCAGTGGAGCTCAGGGTGACTCCAGCATTGGAACAAGGCCTCTGCGCAGAGAGCGCTGGCCTCTCACAGATCCTGGTGGCAAGCTTTGAAGATCACTCCATGCGGCAAGTGGGTGGAACACTAGAATGTTCAAGGCCTCTCTCTCTCCCCCCAATCCCCAATGGATTTGTTCTAAAAAGATTACTCTGAAGTGTCATGGGGCTCTACATGCATTTTTTCCTCATCTTATTCAATTTAATGTGACAGTAAAGATGGTTTTCCTATCTGCCAGCCTGGCAAATGTTTGCCTGGGAAAGGCTGAGGAGGAAGACATAAGTGGATGGGTTGAGGGTGGCGGGGGAGGAAAAAAAAAAAAAAAAAAAAGGGAGTGATCTAGTGGAGAGGGCACTGGAATAGAAGTCAAGAGACCTGGGTTTTATTCCTGGTTCTCCTATTGACCTGCTACATGAGGTTGGGCAAATCACTTCACCTCTCTCTACAGTTTGTCTGCCTCATCTAAAATAGGCTGCAAGTGCTTTGTGACAGGAACGGTCTCTTACAGCACCTGGCACAATAGGAGCTTGAGCTCACATGTAGCCTCTAGGGGTGATGCCACAATATAAGTTATCGGATTTTAAAGTTACTTCTCATTTTTTTAAAACATCTGATAATAGTCTGCAGAGCTGTACATTAATTTACCTCTCTTGGAAAAAAGGGTCCCAGGATTGAATAGCAAATCATTGAACTGAAGTTCAAACAAGCTGTTGCTACCATTGCGAAGAGCTGATCTCTGGTAAACCTACTTGACTCTTCACGGGGAACTTCTGGTCTGCCATTTTCTAGAACTAAAAATATTTGTATTAAGCTCTGATAAACTGGGACACAATTTCAAGCTGTTTACAAGAGATGGGCCCTCCAGGAATTAGTAACCTAAACCTATGGTTCAGGGAAAGGTATTTGATGTTCTGCCATTAAGAGCCCTAAACCCATTATTTTCTCAATATATTACTGTACCATATGTGAAGATCCCCCAACCCTGCAAGCTAATCTGTACAGATAGCCAGCCCCTTGCACCCAGAGTCCCTTTGACTTCTAAGAGTCCCAGGGTCTTTCCACACTGAGCAGCTTGCAGCATCAATGACAAAAGGATCTGACACCGTGGTCCTGACTCACACATAGCTCCATTGAAGTTAATTGGATTATTTTTGGGACTATGTACTGCCCACCTGAGTACTGGGTGCCTGATCAGACCCCAGGGCACCTTTAAGTGAACTGACAACTTCTAGCAAATAAAGTTGTAGTCTTTTGTCTACACAGTATTAATGATCCTTAAATGTGCCATAAAAAGTCTGCACCTGACCCCTCACATACACTTTGTTTTACAGCCCAGAGACCCAGAAACAATCAGTTTACAAATAAAGATGTAAGAAAGTTTAAAAATACAGGTGTAGGCCACCTGCCAGCTCTTTGTATCCTTCAAAGAAAATTTTGTAATAGATAGTATTTAAATTTACTGTTCTCTATTGCCATGGTCACAGGGCACAAGGATTAAGACCTGAACCTTCCTGTTTGCTACATACTTGGTAAAGTAATTTTTATATATATATATATATACATACATATACACACACACACACACACACTATATATATATATATATATAAATATAAAAAAAGACAAAGAAGTGGGCAGAGGGAGAGGTTTCCTGCTGCATTCCAGGGTGAGGTTGAGGCCAGAAATGGTTACCAGGGGAAAAAAAATGTTCTTTATCCAAGGTGCATTAGGTTTGGCTTCAGGCCCCATTAGTAAGACTTTCCATTATTTGGCTAGGGTCGCAATTAGCTTCAGAGAGTTTTTAAAATAGCCAGCAAGAACCTTTTGACATTATCGTTGTATAAACCTTTACTAAACAAACCAAGTTTCCGTTGCGCTTCAGTTAGCTGTCCCATAAAAAGAAATAGCTAATTGAACACATTACCCCAGAACAGAATGTTATGGGTTAATTTCCACAGTGAGAGGTTGACACGTGAACGGCAAGACGTGCCAGTGATCTTAGTACGATAGTTCTAAGTTCTTCTGATGTGCAATTTAGTGGCAGAACAATAACAGGAAAATAAAATAATCCGGGGGCCATCCTCTCCCTCCCAAGTTGCAGTGATCACGAAAATCTTTCAGCAGCAAACACAACCCCACAACTGAATGAAACAAAAAGGAGTCATCCCGGAGTCTCGAAAGGATTTGGAGACTGCTTGGGTGAGCTAAGGGATTGCCAAATTGCCGCGGGGGCGGGGGCGGGCGGGGGGGAGCGGAGAAAACAACACCGCGGACACACTAAAGAAGGTTAAAGAGAGCAGAATCCGAAAGTACAAAAAAAATCTCTTACGCCCACCTGGGGTTTGCAAAGTCTCCTGGGGCTCTGCTTCCTGGCTGCCCATAGCAAGGGGTCCTGGATACCGCAGCCCAATGTAGCTTCACCAGACTATTACGTCCCTCTGTCTACCCCGGTATTTTGCACGGAGAGAGGGAAAAGATTGGGAGAGGAGGAGCCTGGTTAGAGCAGCAGCCTCGGTTGTTACTATTGAGCACGCTCCACTCACATTAAACCCGCTCATTAGCCGCATGGGAGAAGCAGCTGACACTACTATTCCCTCCCAGTTTTTCATTGACAGACACATGCTGCTTAACCATAATTGTTTAATTCGCAAATCAGCGGCATTAGTACATATTTGTCCTTTTTCTACCCTGAGAATTTGTGAAGGGTTACAAAGAACAGCTGCGAAGTTAACGTCACAGCAACAGGGACATGACACCTGATCACTGGAATCACATCGGTGTAAATGACAGGTTTCAGAGCAGCAGCCCTGTTAGTCTGTATCCACAAAAAGAACAGGAGTACTTGTGGCACCTTAGAGACTAACAAATTTATTTGAGCATAAGCTTTCGTGAGCTACAGCCCACTTCATCAGATGCATAGAATGGAACACACAGAAAGAAGATATTTATACATACAGAGAACATGAAAAGGTGGGCGTAGCCATACCAACTGTAAGAGGCCAATCAATTGAGATGAGCTATCATCAGCAGGAGAGAGAGAAAAACCTTTGAAGTGATAATCGAGATGACCCATAGAAGGTGTGAGGATATTTTAACATGGGGAAATAGATTCAATTAGTGTACTGACCCAACCATTCCCAGTCTCTGTTCAAACCTAAATTAATTGTATCTAATTTGCATATTAATTCAAGTTCAGCAGTCTCTCTTTGAAGTCTGTTTTTGAAGTTTTTTTTGTTGCAAAATTGCCACCCTCAAGTCTGTCACTTAGTGGTTAGAGAGGTTGAAGTGTTCTCCCACTGGTTTTTGAATGTTATGATTCCTGAGGTCAGATTTGTGTCCATTTATTCTTTTGCATAGAGACTGTCGGGTTTGGCCAATGTATATGGCAGAGGGGCATTGCTGGCATATATCACGTTGGTAGATGTGCAGGTGAACGAGCCCCTGATGGCGTGGCTGATGTGATTAGGTCCTATGATGGTGTCACTTGAATAGATATGTGGACAGAGTTGGCATCGGGCTTTGTTGCAAGGATAGGTTCCTGGGTTAGTGTTTATGTTGTATGGTGTGCGGTTGCTGGTGAGTATTTGCTTCAGGTTGGGGGGCTGTCTGTAAGCGAGGACTGGTCTGTCTCCCAAGATCTGTGAGAGTGAGGGATCATCTTTCAGGATAGCTTGTAGATCTTTGAGGATGCGCTGGAGAGGTTTTAGTTGGGGGCTGAAGGTGACGGCTAGTGGCGTTCTGTTATTTTCTTTGTTGGGCCTGTCCTGTAGTAGGTGACTTCTGAGTACTCTTCTGGCTCTGTCAATCTGTTTTTTCAGCAGGTGAGTATTATAGTTTTAAGAATGCTTGATAGGGATCTTGTAGGTGTTTGTCTCTGTCTGAGGGATTGGAGCAAATATGGTTGTATCTTAGAGCTTGGCTGTAGACAATGGATCGTGTGGCATGTCCTGGATGGAAGCTGGAGGCATGTAGGTAAGTATAGCAGTCAGTAGGTTTCCGGTATAGGGTGGTGTTTATGTGACCATCACTTATTAGCACAGTAGTGTCTAGGAAATGGACTGCTTGTGTGGATTGGCCTAGGCTGAGGTTGATGGTGGGATAGAAATTGTTAAAAGCATGGTGGAATTCCTCGAGGGCTTCTTTTCCCTGGGTCCAGATTCATAGATTCATAGACTGTAGGACTGGAAGGGACCTCAAGAGGTCATCGAGTCCAGTCCCCTGCCCTCATGGCAGGACCAAATACTGTCTAGACCATCCCTGATAGACATTTATCTAACCTACTCATAAATATCTCCAGTAATGGAGATTCCACAACCTCCCTAGGCAATTTATTCCAGTGTTTAACCACCCTGACAGTTAGGAACTTTTTCCTAATGTCCAACCTAAACCTCCCTTGCTGCAGTTTAAGCCCATTACTTCTTGTTCTATCCTTAGAGGCTAAGATGAACAAGTTTTCTCCCACCTCCTTATGACACTGTTACTGAAATGTCGGGTTCGCCTAGCTGAGAGCTAATAACAGCCAGACAGGGATAAGGAAAGGTTGCTTTATTCTGCAGAAAAAAGGAGAGCTTTGCACCTTGGTACAAAAACTTTGTCTTATACAAATTTCACAGATTTTTTTATACACACTCAGACAAAGACCCCTACCGTGTTAACACTTGATTGGTGGTTGCCAGACCCTGTACTTCTGCTATTTGGTCAGTGAAAACCGGTTTGGAGCCATTCGTCTCTGCCTCAAGGCAGGGGAGACAAGATAGTTCAAAAGTTTAGGCTAGCTGTGCACGTGAGGCGCCTGCTACCCCTAATGGCCGTTGGTAGCCATAACGGCTGTTAGATTGTTAAGAAGGGGGGATCACTGCTATTACAGTCCCCCCTTCGGGTCTGACAAACCCAAATTGTCAGGCCCATTGCGCAATTTGCGATTAACTTGGAGGGACAGATACTGGGGTTTTTTTGGGGTAGCAGAGCCTTTTGTGATAGCTTTACACAGACATTTTGCACATTGTAACAATACCCAAATAACACATAAAAAGAAAAGAAGGAAAATAATTTACTTAACAATTGTTCGGAAAAGTTCTGTAAACCAGGACCCAAGGTCTGGGAGGAGGTCCTCAAAGCTAAAGGTATGATTAAGGGATACAGCATGGAAAACAACAGCAGCATTTTTAATAGCTTGCAAATTTTTTTTAATTAAGCCAGAGCGATTAATATAAAAATAGCATTTTTTTTTAAATGCGAGCACAAGCCCTTTTTACTTTAGCATTTATGGCATTTAACGTTTATTTTGCAGCGCTAATTTTGCTATTTTATTGATTTTTTGCTGTAATTTTTGAAGGGCGTTTAGGGAGGCATTAGCTGCCTTTTTAAGTTTTGCAGAAATATTTACTACCGCCCTTTTTAATTTTGCTACTCCAAGCCCAGGAATAAACACACAGACAAAGGAATGAAACCCTGTTTGCCTGACTACCAGGGGATTTTTGGCACGTTTAGTTTGAGGCTTTATGGAGGGGGTAAAGAGCTTGTGAGAATAACTTCCCAGGTTGAGGATGTGACTCAAATTTAACGTGTGGTTTATTTGGACATTCGGTAGCACCCAGGCCACCCCACATCGACCTTGCCAACCTGGGGGGAGAGCTTTGTAGGCACTGTGTCCACAGATGAAATACAAGCCGAGGTTTTTTAAATAAAGGGTAAGGGTATTTCCCGTGACCCGATGGCGCCAGGCCACTCTTACACCCCGGTGCTTGGAGTTACCCATTATTTGGTTTTGACACTTTTAGTGGGATACATTTAGGTGCCCTAGGGCATGGGTGTTATTTAGGATGCCTTTATAATATGTAACAGCAAACAACTTGGCTGTGAAACTTGCAAGCATTTTTATGTGTTTTGGGCATTTAGACATTTTTTTAAGGGATGGGTGAGGCAACAGAAGGCCAGAGTAAATGTTTATATAGTATGTATGCGTTTTATTTATGGGGCCTAATGGGAGGAATAAGGGAAGCCACTGCTCTTGATAACACACTCCTGTTGATTGTGTAGTAAAACCCGTACTTAGGTGGCAAGGGGAGTAGCCTTGGGCCTTTTCAGGAGTTTTTAACAGATAAAGGGTTTTATTTTGGACATTAAACTGAAGGGTTTGCTTACAGGCTTTAAAGGGGAAGATAACCCTTTTTTTTTTTTTTTTTTTTTTTTTAACTTTTTTTATATTTTTTAAGCAAAGGAGCAATTTATACCCAATCCCTAGGATATTAAAAAGAGGGACCCCCTTTGCAGCCCAGTAGTAATGCCAAACCTTAGACATCTTTCCATAGTTATTATACTGGTATTCCCCAACCCACGCCCATTTAGTTTTTTGCATTATTTGTAAGGAGAGTACTTTAGAGAGGTCTGCAGGTGCAGCCCACAGCCCTATTTCTTCCTCAGAACGGGTTCGGTGACACAGCCAGCAATTAGACAAGTGTCCCAATGTGGCTAGTCATTGCAAATACTCGGCCGCTGGGTGAGAGTTAGCACTTATAACAGGCAAACTTGAAAGAAGTAGCCACTGCACCACTGTCTACAAATTTATGGTTATAAAGTTTTAGGATTTAGTTCGTTGAAACAAGAGCTTTAGTTTTTTGAGAGGCTTAGCTTTTTAGGAATTGTTTACTTTAGGCTTTTTTGGATTGTGGTGGGAAGAGCTGGTGGGGCTTCCTCGAAGTCCAGAGTAGTTTGCTTCTGGCCCCAGCCTAGGGGCTAGCTTGACTTGGGTGTGATGAATTCAAGTGTTTTGTTTCCTCACTTGAATTGCAGTGTGGGAGGTAAGAAGGACTTGGAAAGGGCCCGCCCACCGGGGTTGGAGAGGCTCATGTTTTTACTTTTTTATATAGACTTAATTTCCTGGAGTGATTCGGTGGGCAGGGACATTAGCGGGTAGGGACTGAAATTGAGCTGCGTACCTGTGGAGAGATATGAGAGTGGTTTGGAGGGAAACAACATATCTGGTTAGCTTTTTGTCACCTCAAGTGGCTAAATTAGTCACAGGTTCTGGATTAGCAAATCAGGCGTATGGCCTGCCAAATAAGACCTGGGCTACACTACGAGTTTAGGTCAAATTTAGCAGCATTAAATCGAATTAAGCCTGGACACGTCCACACGACGAAGCCCTTTTTTTCGACTTAAAGGGCCCTTTAAACCAGTTTCTTTACTCCACCTCCGACGAGGGGATTAAAATCGGCCTTTGCGGGTCAGATTTGGGGTAGTGTGGACGGAATTCCATGTTATTGGCCTCCGGGAGCTATGACTATCACTGTGACCGCTCTGGACAGCACACTCAACTCAGATGCACTGACCAGGTAGACAGGAAAAGCCCCGCGAACTTTTGAATTTCATTTCCTGTTTGCCCAGCGTGGAGAGCACAGGTGACCATGCAGAGCTCATCAGCACAGGTAACCATGATGGAGTCCCAGGATCGCA